ACCCAGGGGGTCAATGAACATTCATCGTTAAGTTACAATATAGATGCATTTTGAAACAGAAAGGGACATAGGTGATGGAGGCTGAGGTTTTTAAAAAAAGTTTAGATCCCTCTTAAGGAATCTGCAACAAGTTGGAAGAGCTTTGGGGATTTTTGTTTATTTGTATTTAAATGAATAGCCTCCTAGGGTCCTGATCCTTCCCTCTCATTAGGCAGACAGCGGCTATTGATTTCAATCGGTTTGTGTGAAGGAGGGAACAATCAGATTAATTACTTTAATATTTAAGACCCAAAGCTAAAGGCTTTCCTTGCACAGAAGAAAATTTGTATTTACTTAGAAGATAGGGAATGTAGGTACAGTGGACAAAACCCGCCCTCTGTCTGATTGTTCTACCTGTAACTCTTAAATAAATCACATTAAACGGGAAGACATTTTCAGAAGGTAGGGCTGTCAAGAGATAATCACACCCCTAGGGAGGATTTGGTTGTGTCGAGTGTAATCTCACCCTAGGGCTGTGATTATCTCTTGGTATCCATACCCACGTGTCATGCTTTATTTCATAGCTAATAAATCATCCCAAATGGGGCAGTAGATGCTTGGGGCAGTACACCCAAGAAAGCCAATTGAAAGAAATCAGACACACAGAGGAACTAATAGAACCACTAGCTACTTCACTTATAGAGGCTGGAGTCTGAATTAGGTTCCACAGCAAAGACACCTTTGATTTCAGAAGTCTGGCTTTATATGTATGGCATTGGCTGTCTGTCCTCTGATTCATCAATGATGTCATAGGATCTCCTGAGTTCTCCTGTAGCTGGATAGTCCAATCTGTGATGAGCAATGTCCTGACCAGATACCACAAAGGAACATGTGGACTTGGAATGATGTTTGGCCAGTTTTTTGCATCTGTCTTTCCCAAAGTGTTTACACTCTTTATTGATAAATGCTCTCCATTCAGGTCTGTCCTTGACCATGTTTTCAAAATGATCCATATTTATGCTGCATGAGTTGAGATTCTGATTAAGACTGTTTATGAAGCTTTTACATTGATTGTCCTTGCACTTTCCAAAATTCAGGAGGAGTTTTTTTGGGAATCTATCATCAGCCAAGTTGACAACATGACCCAACCATCTAAGGAAAGTTTTTATTAGTATGGATGTATGCTTCTTCTTCATGTTCTGTCCAGGATGTTAATGTTTGATACTTTGTCTTGATCAAGTGACATTTTTCAGTTTTGTAACCTCAGAGGTGAGGTTTGGCTCAGTGGTAGCGACTGATGAGATTGGTTGGAAGAACTTATTTTTTTCAGGCTGATGGTGACGCCAAACTGTGTAGCTGTCTCTGTGAAGCTGTTAATGATAAGCTGTAGGTCATCTTCACTATGGCTATGTCTACACTGCATCCAAGGAATGCGTCTGCTTTTCTGAAAAAAAAAATTGGAAAAGCAGATACGTTTTTTTCAGCATCCTGTAAACCTAATTCTATGAGGAATAAAGGATGTTCCAAAAGAGAGTTTTCCCCCAACATTTGCCCATTTAGACAGGCCAAATGTCGGAAAAGCCTCTTTCGGAAAAAAAGAAACAATTTGTGTATCTTTTTCTGACTTTTCTTTGTAGTGTAGACATAGCCAAAGACTATAAGCATGGGGCTTCATATATGAGTTGCTCCAAAGCCTTTATCTTCTCAGTAAGCCTTCAGAAACTGTGGAGTTTTCAGTAAGTTCTTTCTTAAGCAGAAGGCCTTTTGAAGGTCAGAGAGACAAGGTGGGTGAGGTAATATATTTTATTGGACCAACTTCTACTGCTGAAAGAGACAAGCTTTCAAGACATACAGAGCTCTTTTTCAGGGCTTGAAGGCTGTCAACTACAAAGGTCAGAGTGGCTAGAAAGAAGTGATGAAAAAGGACCAGTGAAAGCATGAAGCCTTGTTTCATCCTTTTAGATATAGGGAATGGTTCAGAGCAGCTGTGATAGTCTGCACCCCTATGTTCACCCAAAGATGCCATTTTGAGAGTGCAAGGGGGCTACAGCCATACATACTGGGGATACTACTTGCTCTTTTCCCCCTGCCCTGCACTATAGGGAGGGAGGAGAAAGAACACTCTTCTACTCCCTCCCCTCACAGGCTGGGTGCGAGAGGAATGCATGTAAGCTGTGTACTTTCCCCTTGCTCCCTGATAGTGAGAAGAAGAGCAAGCAGCATTCTCCAGTATCCAGAAATAGTGCTGCAGTGTAGACCTAGCCTGTGTCTCTGGTAGGATTGTCTCTGAGACTGTTTTGATAAGCAAATTGAATGAAGTCTGAGCAAGGGTTTTACTGCTAAGGAGCTACCCCAGTAATAGCCACAGTTGTGTTTGTTGCCTTTATTTTTGTATAGTGTACTATGATTGTGTCTTTTGAAATCCCAAAGAATTTTCTCACATTGCTAGATAGCTTTGATAATTTTGTATTGAGAGTGGACAGTTTGGAACCTGCAAGTTACAGATTTCAGCTGGCATGCTGTCTTTGCCTGGTGATTTACTTGACTTCATTTGTCTGATAGCTTTTTGCCCCTCCTCAGCAGTAGCTAACTGTCAATTTCTTCCTGTGTGGGATGCTGGATTAATTCCTCTAGTCTGGGTTGATGGAAGAGGGATGGCTGAGTAGCTCAGTAAAGTGCTATCCCTATCTTTCAGATATGCCTCTTTTGTTCTTCGTAAATACAGCTCCTCCTAAACTCTTTAGTGGAGCTGATCCCGATTTTCATGGGCCATAAATGGAGTAATTCAAGGAATAATAAAACAACTTGGTGTTGTTTGTATCAGCATAGTGCTGTATTTCTTCTCTTTCTTTCCCCACCAGTTATCCTGTAGAAAATTAAGCCATCTTTGAGCCTCGGCTTGCAGGTATTTGAATTTATCTCTCTTTGATGCTGATTCTTTGTCATTTTGTCAAGACATAAATACATTATTCTTTTCCTTGAGGAGCTTTCTGATTTCCTCATGATTATCATAAAATATATCCTTTGTTGCCTTTGATTTTTGCCTAGAGTCTTCTAGCACTGATCTACCCATTATTACCAATGTGTTTTCCCTCAATATTTCTTGATACAATGGATGTTTCAACTTTACTAAATTCAGATTTGTGTTTCAGCATTGTTTCACTGAGAGGCAACAATGTATAAGCTGAAAATGGCTCTTATCATCATGTGTCAGTTTAATTGTTTGCTCCTCACATTTCCCCTAATATCTGTTTTGCTGTATATGAGATACTGTAGTCAGTCAGGTGTCAGTGCTTTGATCTTGGATGCATTCAAAAGGTTTGTATTTGTTGGTTTGCCGGAAGATTGTGTTGGTAATAGTGAGCCCATGCTTAGCATACTTGCTGTAGTATGTTACTTTAGCAGTGCCCACCCTATTTCTGATGTCTGTATTGTGGGATGTGTGTACTTAAAAGCTTCACCTACTTTCCCCATGTTTTTTGTGTTCCTTATCCCTGTTTTTAATTTTCTTTGTATGCTTCATCTGATTTGGCAATCAAGGCCTGGTGTATAAGGTAGTTATATGGCTATGTACAAAGTGACATCTGAAGAAAGTTGGCACCATCGCATTCCTTATTTGCCTCTTGTAAACAAAGTTTGTGGGTGCTAGTAACATGTTTGTTTTAATTTACAGGTTGTATCAAGTGGTGAGAGAAGTAGCTTCGCTAGAACCCTATAAAGTTCTTGAGTTCAATGCTAACTTGGATGCTGTCCTGAAACCAGGGAGGGAATAGGAAAGAACAA